TATATATCCAGGCGATGCGAGTCTGCACTCTCCGATCATGACCTAATGAAAGTAATTAAAGTTAATATAAGTGATGTTGTCTCCAGAATTATGTATCCCATATACATCACCAACATGGAGGGGCTGTGGATACAGTGCTATGATGCAGAGCGCCTGCTGAAAGTCACTGGTAGCCTGCATACGGCATACGTTTAGCCACGGCAAATCAGAAGCATTCGCCAAGTTCACGAGGTATATGTTTGGGATGATGAACCAGGAGCCGAAGCGCAACAGGAAGAGCGATTGAAGGCTTTATATTGGCCGCGGGAAGGAGGCAGAGATAAGCTCATTTATTGGAATTGTGCCCTGAGAGGGCACATATTTTGGGAGTGCGAGTCCATTTTTTGTTATAAATGTTGTGTGCCAGGTGTTGTTTTTCCCAAATGTCCAAACTGCCAGACAGAAAACAGCCAGGACCCTAACGCAAGCGAAGGTGTCGCGCTCCAAACCGTCACTACAGGTGAATGAAATACCTCCACCAATGCGTTAGTAGAGTAAAAAGATTGCTGTAGAAACAAATGTAACGTTAAATATAATCTACTTAAAATTAACATCAACCGGAATAATAACATTAGATGGTCAGAAAGGAAGCCACTTGAAGTGATAGAAGCAGAATATGCTTTTCGAGCACGTTTTTACGACAGCATACCCGAAGCGAACGTAGAGAAACAACCGCGTTCTTGCTACAAACAGCGGCAGGAGCTTAGAATGGTTGCGCTGCTATTCAATCAGCAGTCAAATGCGACGATTGTGCGTTCCCAACGGTTGAGATGGGACAGCAAGAGCTGGGTTGCTGAATACAAGAGCATCCGTCAGTTTGTTGGGAGAAGGTTGCCTGCAATTAATCAAATAATTGGAATTAGAAATACACCGGCTACGATCGACACCTTAATCGGCTTGGGACACGCAACATCACATTCTGGGTCATGTCTATGCCACGATGTCATACAACGGCCAGACTCATAAACTAACGCTGCATCTATACCCATCTCTCAAGCAATCTCTGTACCTTGGAGTGGATTTTTGGCGAAAATTCGGTTTGGTGCCGGAATTTTTAGCAGTCCAGGAGCTGGGATATGCCGACTCAGGGTTCACGGGCAAAAACTAAGCTGGTTTTGACCGCAGAAGCGATAAAGTCTTTCTAGGAGCTCAAGAAGGCACCCAGTGCGAGGCAAGTCAATTTGAAACGGGAGCGTTGCTTTTTCAGAGAGCACAACTAAATTATGGCCGCCCATATGTAGAACTGATGCCGGCTTATGACACTGTACTATCTCAGTGGGAGGATCGCTCGTTAATCACCGGCTCTGCAAGCATTTAACTTTTAAATCCAACAATATCGTGGCGGATATGTTGTCTAGACTGTTCGAATTGAAAAAAGTCTATGTTTTCGATTTTGAGACCATTGAGTTTGAGAGCGAAGATTATTTTGAAAGGCGCAACCCTCATCTCGATGAGCAGACGGACAAGTTTCCAGACGTACGTATCAAGGAGAGTCTGTTATTTAAGAGAACCCAGTTCTACAGCAGTGAATTCCCCTGAAATCTGTGGGTTCCTGAAGCATCAACCTCGACGCTTATACAAAAGTGGAATGGCGATGGGCGGTGGGGTTGCGAAGATTCTGGCCAGAGTCAAGTATGCCACCAACTGTGAAATCTCCAAAGACGCCAAGCACGCGAGTCAGATTACTCGACAAGGAAGTTTACATTGAAAGGCTAATGCGAAAACAATACAGGGCAATTAATACACAGCTTTTTATTGTGCTTGTTCATTTTTCCAAATTTGTTTGGCTAGAAGCGATATAAAAGGCGACGACTACGGCAGGTGATACATTTTTACGTGGTCATATATTTACGCAGTTCGGAGTACCTGAAGTTATTCATACGGACAATAGCTTTATTCAATAATGTAAAAATCAGGATGTACAATTTAAGAGTATCCCTACGGCACTCGAAAGGAGAACGTTCGAGAAAATGGTTGAAGTAATCCAATGAGTTAAGTTTAAAGAAGACATAGATAGATTTCGAAAGGGCACATGCGTGGGACATAGCCTGCAGCGTCTCAATCCATTTATACATGAGTATAATTTATTTTCTCCTTTTCGTTGTTGTGAGTAGGCGACGAATTTTAAATGCTCCTATTTCATATGATGTCGAGCCATTTGACGAATTGTTATGCTGGCCCAAGAACACCCTTGAGTCTTCTTCGTGAGCAATTTTGGTTAATCAACGCTCAAGAGGTTTGTCGTCAGAAAGAAATCATGTATCCGTTGCTTTAAATGCAACCCTCGTATGCTAACACAATTTATCTGTGCCATCAATTTTTATGGCCCAATTAGAAGAATAGCAAATCAAAAGCAATTCAATACATTAAGTTACGAATAACTTTAGCCCGCCGAAGATTCTATACTCTTGCAGACATTTCCCACTTGCAAATATGTAAGAAAAGTTCAGATCCAAAATGTTAAGTTTGTGAAATATCATTGGAAACAGTACTATATATATATATATATATATATATATATATATATATATATATATATATATATATATATATATATATATATATATATATATATATATATATAAGATTATATAAGAAAAATGTAGGAACACGGACGATAGATGTTCTTAGCTTACATCCATAGAAATAGAATTTCCGATGAGCAGCCGACTGGCACAAAAATTGGTCTAAGGGTATATTGTATTTGTGCAAAATGCATCTGTATGTAACACGCAGAATGAAGCATCTCCGACCCCATTAAGTATATATATTCTTGATCAGCACCAACAGCCAAGTCGATCTAGCCATGTCCGTCTGTCCGTATGTATGAACGCAAGGATCTCAGAACCTATAAGAACTAGATATTTGAACTTTAGATATAGGTGCTTCTAGTGCCTGCGCAGATCGAGTTTGTTTCCGATAATCGATAACTTACTCAATTTCCAAGCAATCAATAAAAATCGATGTCGACATCCTGTTTTTTAGCAAATTGGGTAAATAACAAGAGCTAGAGTCACGAAGCATGATATTTTGCTCTTAGAATATTATATATATGTCAAGTATCTTTCATTTTATGATTATCGCCACCTCCCCTCTGCCACCGCACAGCTATAAATCAAGTTAATAACCCAACTTTTATTGCCAACCAGTCTTAGCCACAATTTAAATGCAATTGACTTCTTCAGAATACACAAATATTCTATGGTACAATAATAATAATAATGTAGAACATTTCATAAATATCGGTTAAGAAAAATCCAAAGTTATATGCAACTCCGCAATTGGATGTGGCAGCAGCTTTAAGAATTTCTGTATACATGTACACACACACATTCATACGCGTCTGTTTCGCATTCTATCGCATTCTAACACCGACTAATTGCAGTTTTTTCTGTAATGCTATTTAAGTTTGTTATTTCTCAAAAGTACTTAGTTATTTGGTGTGGCTGACGTGTAGTGGCATAGTGGGGCGGACTGTAGCGAGTTCGAGCCCTTCCGGGGAAAGTATTTTTTTTTTTGCGGGTGTAGCTACTTTGTATAGTCGACAACAAGTAATGCGGTCAGTTGCGAATTCGAACCCTGCCAAGGGAGTTTTTATTTAAATTTATTTGGTGTCGGAATAAGAGGGTTCAGGGTATTCCCTAGTCGGGAACTCCCGACTAGAACCTCTTACTTGTTGCTATCTGCAAGTGTTTATCTATAAATATGCAGAAATATAGAATTCTTTAGTAAGCGTTAGATTTAGTTGAAATAGTAAGGCAAATTGAATATGGTGATGCCAAAGGGAAGAACTTACTTTGAATTGAAGGCGTAGGAGATAGGGTACATTAAAGGTAGAGGGTCCAAGTTTCAGATAACGCGCTCCGAATCTTAAAGAATCCATATCCGCTATTTTGCCGAATTGGATAGAAGCTCCCAATCAGTGGTCATGGATAACCCCGCCAAACGGCGGGTGGCCAGCACAGAGCGTTACATGGGAAAAAGGAACAATCGATTTCGGCAGCAGCTCAGGAGCATCAGAGAATGGCAACAAGCCTCAGCGAATAGCATCGGCTATAAATTTTGCATTGTTTCCAGCTCACTGCAAAAGCATGGCCTTCGAATTCTCATCATTGTAGCAGCAACATTTGTCTGAACATCTGGCAAGAGCGATCGATTATCGATTGCTGGAGATGGTGCATTTGAACCTGTACCCATCAGCCGAAGACTGAAGTGGTGCATATCAGGAGGATTAGTATTTGATGACGAAACTAAAGGTATGCCGGTGTCAGAATTCATTTTTCGGTTGGAACGTATGCAACTGACTTACCAGGTTCCATGGAGAAAAATGTTGCGTGATTTCCACGTCCTAGTTAAGATCAGGAGTGGTATTGAATGCACTTTCGTTTTTCATTACAATAACAGTTCTAGACCAGGCGTTCAATTTTTGAGCTAGAGCACGAATTGCGCGAGAGGAAGCAGAATTCAGGCGAGACAATCGAAGCATATGCTTCGCCTGGATATATATCCAGGCGATGCGAGTCTGCACTCTCCGATCATGACCTAATGAAAGTAATTAAAGTTAATATAAGTGATGTTGTCTCCAGAATTATGTATCCCATATACATCACCAACATGGAGGGGCTGTGGATACAGTGCTATGATGCAGAGCGCCTGCTGAAAGTCACTGGTAGCCTGCATACGGCATACGTTTAGCCACGGCAAATCAGAAGCATTCGCCAAGTTCACGAGGTATATGTTTGGGATGATGAACCAGGAGCCGAAGCGCAACAGGAAGAGCGATTGAAGGCTTTATATTGGCCGCGGGAAGGAGGCAGAGATAAGCTCATTTATTGGAATTGTGCCCTGAGAGGGCACATATTTTGGGAGTGCGAGTCCATTTTTTGTTATAAATGTTGTGTGCCAGGTGTTGTTTTTCCCAAATGTCCAAACTGCCAGACAGAAAACAGCCAGGACCCTGACGCAAGCGAAGGTGTCGCGCTCCAAACCGTCACTACAGGTGAATGAAATACCTCCACCAATGCGTTAGTAGAGTAAAAAGATTGCTGTAGAAACAAATGTAACGTTAAATATAATCTACTTAAAATTAACATCAACCGGAATAATAACATTAGATGGTCAGAAAGGAAGCCACTTGAAGTGATAGAAGCAGAATATGCTTTTCGAGCACGTTTTTACGACAGCATACCCGAAGCGAACGTAGAGAAACAACCGCGTTCTTGCTACAAACAGCGGCAGGAGCTTAGAATGGTTGCGCTGCTATTCAATCAGCAGTCAAATGCGACGATTGTGCGTTCCCAACGGTTGAGATGGGACAGCAAGAGCTGGGTTGCTGAATACAAGAGCATCCGTCAGTTTGTTGGGAGAAGGTTGCCTGCAATTAATCAAATAATTGGAATTAGAAATACACCGGCTACGATCGACACCTTAATCGGCTTGGGACACGCAACATCACATTCTGGGTCATGTCTATGCCACGATGTCATACAACGGCCAGACTCATAAACTAACGCTGCATCTATACCCATCTCTCAAGCAATCTCTGTACCTTGGAGTGGATTTTTGGCGAAAATTCGGTTTGGTGCCGGAATTTTTAGCAGTCCAGGAGCTGGGATATGCCGACTCAGGGTTCACGGGCAAAAACTAAGCTGGTTTTGACCGCAGAAGCGATAAAGTCTTTCTAGGAGCTCAAGAAGGCACCCAGTGCGAGGCAAGTCAATTTGAAACGGGAGCGTTGCTTTTTCAGAGAGCACAACTAAATTATGGCCGCCCATATGTAGAACTGATGCCGGCTTATGACACTGTACTATCTCAGTGGGAGGATCGCTCGTTAATCACCGGCTCTGCAAGCATTTAACTTTTAAATCCAACAATATCGTGGCGGATATGTTGTCTAGACTGTTCGAATTGAAAAAAGTCTATGTTTTCGATTTTGAGACCATTGAGTTTGAGAGCGAAGATTATTTTGAAAGGCGCAACCCTCATCTCGATGAGCAGACGGACAAGTTTCCAGACGTACGTATCAAGGAGAGTCTGTTATTTAAGAGAACCCAGTTCTACAGCAGTGAATTCCCCTGAAATCTGTGGGTTCCTGAAGCATCAACCTCGACGCTTATACAAAAGTGGAATGGCGATGGGCGGTGGGGTTGCGAAGATTCTGGCCAGAGTCAAGTATGCCACCAACTGTGAAATCTCCAAAGACGCCAAGCACGCGAGTCAGATTACTCGACAAGGAAGTTTACATTGAAAGGCTAATGCGAAAACAATACAGGGCAATTAATACACAGCTTTTTATTGTGCTTGTTCATTTTTCCAAATTTGTTTGGCTAGAAGCGATATAAAAGGCGACGACTACGGCAGGTGATACATTTTTACGTGGTCATATATTTACGCAGTTCGGAGTACCTGAAGTTATTCATACGGACAATAGCAGACAGTTTACGTGTAATAAAACTGCCAAGTTCACAAATTAATATGGGATCACTCACCAGAAGACTGGGTGTTATGTGGCGTAAGCAAACGCGTCTGGAAGGGTGAACCAGCGGCAATCCGCATCTATAGCGACGACAATGATGCGCAATGGGACGAGCAGCTACCCGAAATAGCGTTATCATTTCTAGGCGTGATACCCAACAGTATCGAAACTCCGCCATATTTTGCCATGTTCGGACAGCATATGTTCACAAGCGGTGCGATCCGATCGGTCTCAAACTCATTTTCAAAGATTTTGTATACATACATTTGAGGGGTGTTTCAAACTTTTCAAAAAACCCATTTCTCCTTGGTGGAAATGGTGGTCAAAGATTTGCTGGGTGACGTTTCGGGCTCAAATTCATTTCCAATGAGCTATATACAAAATAATTTCAGACGCGTTTTACATTTTTCTCAAAATCAAAGCTTCCTCGGGGGAAAGTGCGATTCTCCGATTTTTTGTGACGTTTTAAGTTTTTTTCCGATTCGCCTTAAACATAATTTTAATGTGTACGCTAAAGATGTTTAAATTACCGGCATTGATATCCATTGTGCGGACTGCGGGTCAGGGATGGGACTACCCCTTCAGAACCAATGACCCAGGTGGCGCGGTCCAAAGGGAAAAAAACACGATAATGTATAACCTGCATAACCTTATTCAATGACCCAGGTGGCGCGGTCCAAAGGGAAAAAAACACGATAATGTATAACCTGCATAACCTTATTCAGCCTACGTCCTTTCGTTTGCGGGCTGTAATGGATAATAATATATGGGTCAATATCCCAAATATGAGCAGTTATAGTTTCCTAGATTAAGTTACACGTACAAAAATAATTTTAATTTTGCAAGGAATTAATTGACTGCAAATTTTCCCGAATTGTAGTTTTGATTGTTTTTGACATTTTTGTTTTGAATTTTGAACTAAAATTTATTATAAAACGATGTTTATAATTTTGCAAGCAATTACTTCATAAAATGTATATTAAAGATTCATTTAATATATGCAATTTTTAAGTATATTGTTGTACATGTACATGAACCGTTTTTTTTTTTTTCAAAATTGTCTGCAGAATTTTAGTACGATCACTAACCATACAATGTATAGACAAACCAAATGGCACTTATTATCGAAACAAGAAAAATCGAAACGAGGCGACCCCAATGGTACCTGCGACCATTTTAGTGTGCCCAGACAGAGTAAGACTGCTGAGAGTGGCAGCCGAATGCCGGCCTCAAAAGCCGAACGTTCAGTATGAAGCCGCATCTCGCTCAGCGCACAACGTCGCGGCTGTTGATGCTTTTTCTTAATATATGTATGTATTCCATTTTTAAATCTTACAGCCCAAAAACATATATGTGTATGCATGTGCCTCGCTCTCACTCATTGCTTCGCGCACTTGCATCCATCTCTTTCTCCCTGAATAGCTTCCCACAAAACCCCGATCTACAAACATTCATACGTTTGTGTTGTGTGGATGCACGCACAAGTAGATCGCGGCGTTTGTCGCGAGCCAAAGGTTATTTCTTTAATTGTGTGCCTTTTGTGCCTGTGGTAGCAATAGTCACTCACATTTAAATGCTCAATCATGTATTTCTTCGTCCAGTCAGGCATGATGAGAAGAATTTGATCAAATTTTATTTAATACACAATTAATTGACCTAAATGAAATAATTAAATTTATTTTCTATTTACTGTAGAGACCTATTTTGCTTAAAATACAAAAATATCTAAGTCGTATTTCTGCGAGGCAGAGATATTTTTATCAATGGGTGCGTAAATTTGGGCGACTGGCACGGTCTTTGTTATTTTGGCATGCCGGCGTTGGGCTTGCAGCCGCAAAAGGCACAAATGTATAAAAAGGCAATGAAAATGGTATGGATCCAGACGCTTGCTAAACATTCTGATCGTTAATTGCCTGTCATAAAACCCTTAAACCAAAGATTATAATAATGCCAATAAAAGATTACTTGTATTTTTTCCATATCAAAGTGCAAACGAGTGACCTGTTTCATTCAAGCCCACCGCAGGCATGCCAAAAAAACAAAGACCGGAATATTAAGAAAACGCATCATCAGCCGCGACGTTGTGCGCTGAGCAAGATGCCACTCTCAGCAGTGTTACTCTGTCTAAAATGGTTGCAGGTACCATTGGGGTCGCCTCGTTTCGATTTTTCTTGTTTCGATAAAAAGTGCCATTTTGTATGTCTATACATTGTATGGTTAGTGGTACGATTAAATCATAAATTTGTTTCTATTATACACAATAATTATAGCATATCTACGCATTATTCATATTGCAGGAAATACGCTATATTAATATGCTAGAGTAGTACAATAATTTTATTCTGTTAGTAACGAATAAATACTTCTTAATAGTATGTTCTGTATTAGCTCAAAAGTTAAAAAACTAGTTCATCTATTCAAATGAATCAGTTATAAAAAGTATAATTTGTACAAGTGAAAAGTTATATGAAGTTATATGTTTTTATATCACAAAAATAAGTATGGAACGTAATAAAACGAATGTCCCTAATAGGGGTCAAAAAAAAGTATTACTGGGTGCAGAACTTTTTGCTCTTGGTACTAAAAGTTGTCGTGACGATTCTAAGACGAAAATATTACCAATAAAAGGAATTCCTGGATCTAGCTCTGCCTCCACAGAGCGAAAAAGAGATGCTTCGTCGAGCATTGTCAGTCATCCCAATAAAAGATATCGTGCTAGCCTTAAAGATGGATTCCCCGACATGACCACCACAACCGGGATTGCCCACCACGAAATATGGGAACAATTGCCTGATGAGTGTGATATAGCAAATGTAATAGACTGTATGTACGCTGCGATCGAGCAAAACGATAATGAAGTCATACGAATTATTTGTGGGGTGATCAGGCACGCAACATCAACATCCCTTGCTTCTCGGGCTAAGGTGGATAGCATCGCATATTTATCGCTGTTGTACATTGCAAAACTGCATCCACATTTCTTCAACAGTGATATTGTTGCATATGGACTTTTGTCCTTTTTGCGTCGAGAGACTAATATCAAAATGCGTTACAATATAAATCTTCACATACTAATTACAAACCTACTTAGTCGAGGCTTTTCAGAAATATCACTATGGCCTGAAATATTCTTGCGGACTTACGTTGATGATGCCGTCAATGAACGATTTTGGGCAGACAGTGACTACTGTGCGCCATTTGTTAAAAATATTTGTGCCGCTTTTAAGACACGAACGCCTCACCTAAGCCTTCTACGTTGGGATATGAACACAACAGTAACTTCAGGCCAAGCGCATAGAGATAATTTTACTGTCGATGATGATTCAGGTGATAATTCGACACAGAGCTTAGATGCAAGTCCTTATTTGCATTTGGAATCAGATCAGGCAGCCGATTCAATTTGTTTAGTAAAGCGTCGATTTGCAGATAATACTGTTCAAAAGCTTGTAGGCGACGCTATCCGAGATCAACTAAACAAACGTCAGCAACAGGATAATTACACCAGAAATTTTCTCAAATTTCTTTGTACCAGCTCAGGAATCGGTGAAGTTCGCTGCCTTAGTATCTCTCGGTTGGAACTATGGATTCATAACGGAAAACTTGTTAAGTTCGCCCAGCAATTATTATCATATATTTGCTTTAATATCAAGGGCAAAAACATTCAAGACAACGAAGTCCTTCAAGTATTAGTTAAAATGCGTTTAAAAACTAAACCACTTATCAACCATTATATGTCATGTTTAAAAGAGATGATACATTTGCAGCCAAATATATTAAGTACCATTATGAAACTTGTCGTGCAAAATGAGCTGTCCAATACAAGAAATCCAAATAACATGGGAATGCTAGGTAAGTAAAGATAATTTTGAAATTTGTAAAGATTAGATATAAGTAAACAATCTTCGTTTAACTTACTACATATCTTTAAAAATTTCACGAGTAACTATCAACGCTCGATTAGGATATACTTTCAACACAGCATCCAAACTTGATCTACGCTTGGCATAGAAGGACCTGTGTTTCAAATATCAAATTTAGCTCTTATAGTTCCCGAGATCAATGCGTCATACATGTGGGCGACTACATGGCTAGATCGACTTGCTGGCAAAGAGCACATTTACCTTATGGGCTCTGATAAGTCTCCTTTCACATATATTTACACAAGGTCTTTGTACCCATTTGAGGAGTTAGCGATCGACTCAGGATATAATTAATTAGTTGGGTACATTTCTTACAGCAGAATGCTGGTATTTATTAAAGACAATGGCATCTAATATAATTGTGTTTGTACTGGAATATATATATATATTTTTGGCGCCCCAGTGAGCGTAATCAAATAATATTAATGTTGAATCTGACGGTGGTATAAGCGACATTCGTCCAAAGCTTCAGTTGCGTTAAGACAAAATTAAATTCACACAAACATCAAGACGGAAGACCAGCTAAAAGAAAGATGCCAGCAATTTGCTAGAATGGAAAGAAATTTCCGTCCTTTGATTAAGGAATAAATAAAATAATAATTAGAATTTATTTAGTTAAAATTCTGTCGTATACTAAATTAAAAATTTTTTTAACCAAACGAAACAAAATAATAAATATAAGAACGTTGCTGTTGACTGCAATCCGCTGAGCAACACTCCTCAGCCCAATTGTATATTTATCAAATCAAATAATTTAATATTATATATTAATTGAGTTAGTGACCAGTGCCTTAGTCAATTTAAAAATTCCTAAAACAAGCTACTAAATATATTAACAATATTCAATTTTTATACCCTGAACCCATTAAAAATGGGTATAAAGGTATATTATATTTGTGCGAAATCCAAATGTATGTAACAGACAGAAGGAAGCATCTCCGACTCCATAAAGTACATATATTCTTGATCAGCATCAATAGCCGAGTCGATCTAGCCATGTCCGTCTGTCCGTCCGTCAGTCCGTCCGTATGTATGAACGCAAGGATCTCAGAACCTATAAAAGCTAGAGACTTGAAAAAAAATCGATATCGATATCCTGTTTTTTGGGCAATTTTGGTAAATAATAAGAGCTAGAGTCACCAAACTTGACATATAGCTTCTAAAATAAAATATATATATGCATTTGATGTTGAAGGAATAGGGTTCAGGCAAAGACAATATAAACACTAAGATGATACTATGCAGCTTGATTTTTTGAAAGTTGAGAACGAAAACGAAATCTGTAGCATTGCGCTCTCACAGCCGAGAGAACGAAAAAGCTAAAAATAGATTTTGCTCTCAGCTTCGGCTCTGTGAGGGCCGTGCAAGCAATTATGTTTGTATGCGTGTGAATATACATACATAACAGCATATTTGAATGTGTTTTTATCCACTGCTCTGGCAAAGTCTCTGGCTGGCAAAGAAACAATTTTCTTAATTTTTTAGCGCAGATCACGACCTACCCAAAATTTCTGTTGATATATGAATGCATTTCGTGTACTGAGGTTGGCTCCGTACAAAAAAATTTGTATCTTTAAGTCGATGCAAATATTTATGTAATTTTTTATATTTGTAATTATTAATTAAATTATTATTATTTTTAAGTAATACAAAATAAATTAAGGGAAAAAAAGAGCAAATTTATTGTTTT